TCTAGAATCAACAAAAGAAACAAAAATTTAAACCCAGTATCTTGAAGACTCTAGCTAAAACAGAGCCAAGGACCATCTCAGAAAGCTCAGAGTCAAGCTGATGAGTTTTTTAGAGAAGTTCATTACTTCTTTCATTTTGTTGGAGACACATAAACCCCTTTGAATGAGCCGTATGGTAAAAGAAAAGTGTTCATTTTTTTCTTTGTTCATTTGTTTTTTTGTGTTTTTTGTTTTGTTTTGTTTTTTTTTAGGTTGGGAGTATTACCAACCTAATATTACCATAAAGAAAGCAACCCAAATATCCATCCATCAAAAGGGGAATGGCTAAGTAAATTACATGTAATCATGTTATGGAATAAAATACAGCCATTGAAAGCCACTTGCAGATCATTTATTGCCATGAGAAAATATTCTCCATGTATCAATACTAGCCAAAAAAAGCAGGTATTCCTAGACAATAATTAAATAACTATTGTTCAATTGCTAATTAAAAATAAAAAAGGATAGAACTATACTATAAATTCTTATAAAAAAGAGGGGTCATAATGGATTACATCATGGTTCACAAACACTTCCCGCCTCTTTTGAATGGGCCCTGCCGCACTGCAGTGGGTCTGGCCGCGGCTTGCTGCGCATGAGCAGAAGGGTTGTGGTCTTCCGTGAGACCTGCAGGCAGAGGCTGCTCATTCAGCCTGAGCCCCAGATTCAGGACGGTGGGGCGCCGCTGCAGCAGACCCACCATAGACGTGTCATGTGGGTGAGAAATAAACATCCGTCATCAGAAAATGCAAACTTGGCTGATCCTCAAGTGGTACAGATGCTTTGAAAAAATTAATGAAGATCATCGAGAGCTTGAAGTGACATGAAAGGGTTTCTTTTTATCAGCTCTTCAAAGAAAACCATTTTTGTTGTTTCTCTAGGCCAGAAGATCATTATTATACCACAGAAATATTATCACATATTAGAGAGTCTGATCTTTTGATGAAATGAAAAATAGTCTCAACGTGTTCCGACTGAACTTGATGTGCTCATGTTCCAAGAAACGGGAGGAAGAAAGAACCGTGGGCAGGGCCATAATGGGCCCCATTCATTTCCATGTAAAATAAGAATGCAAATGGCAACTTGAGGTCAGAGAAGAGATTCCAACAAAAAGGAGAAGACCATGCCTTTGGAAATTAAATGACAACCAGACAGATTGTGAATATTCAAATCAAGGTGGCAGCAGTGAATTTACATATAATGGATAGATACATTCACAGAGCAGGTCAAACTGGGTATTGCTGTTAGCAGTTACACAGTAACTCTTATCCTGTGTGTCATGAGTAAAAATTATACAGTACCAGTGGTTACACAGCAATGAAATTGAGCAGAGAGCATGACAGTTAAAAGTTCAAATGAGCCCTGTCCAGTGGGGCTCAGTTGATTGGGCTTTGTTCTGCAGACCGAAAGGTCACTGGTTCAATTCCACGTCAGGGCAGCTGCCTCGGCTGCAGGTTTGGTCCCCAGTTTGGGTTGTGCAGAAGGCAGACCCAGTTTGGGTTGTGCAGAAGGCAGACAATCGATGTTACCTTCCCACAACGATGTTTCTCTGCTTCTCCTTCTCCCTCCCTCCCCCTCTCTCTAAAATAAAAAATAAAATTTGTAAAAATAAGCTCAAATGAACATTGTATTTGACTTATGATACTTGACAATGAAATTAAAAGGAACTTCATAAGTAACAAGCTATTGGAACAATAATTCAAACTTAACAAGCTATTGTATATAGGAAAGGATCAGAAGTCATGATCATTTTTCCCACAATGTGCCACAGAGGGGCAAAAGAGTAAATCAAAAACATTTTTGCAAACACTACTGAAATATTATTATCCCTTTGTAGGATGAGGAAAAAAACTCTGAAGAAATCCCCTCTGGCATACTAAGTGCCATTCTTGTCTCTGCAGTTGGAAAAAAATAAAAATGAATTAGGGAAAGCAATTAAAATAATCTTAGGATAGAGAGGCTATTGATGTAATTGCCAAATGTGCTTATCTACCATATGCTTAGCCCAAGGCCAAACATTATGAGGGGTATACAGATGCAAGTTACTATTCACTGAATACTTGTGAATACCATAGGTGATGTGCTCAGTGCCTCTGTACTTGATCTACTTACACCTCAAAATGACACTATGTATAAAGTAGGTTTTTATAGCAAAGACAGACAGCTGCTCACCACACCTTGGTTTCTTTTCTTTCTGGGCTCACAACCAGATTACATTTTTTCCAACCCCCCTTGAAGTTAGCCATGATCTATCTGTACGAGAGATGAAAAGTAGAACACTAAGACTAAAAACTGAGCTCTGAGTGGGAGAGAAAACACACTCTTTCCTTAGTAGAAGCAAAGCTTTTCCTAGCTCTTAGCTTTGAGAAGGACAAACTTTACACAGCACCTACAAGGCACACACAGCAATGAAATAGATGCTTTTTAATATGGGTCCACAGAAAATAAACCCATGTGGGCGAAGAGGAAGGAAAATGTGGTGTCTCATGCTTTTAGTCACCAAAGTCCTTCACACATTGAAGACTGCCTGATACTAAATGACTATAAACTAGCCAAAACATTTTTACAAAATATAACTAGAATGAGTTGCATTTAAAAAATGCCCTATTGAGATATAATTCATACACGATATAATTTAACATGAACAATGCAATGTTTCTTAAATATATGCACAGAGTTGTGCAGCCAATAATACAATCTAATTTTAGATTTTTATGCCCCCCATTGAAAGAAACTACACACCTAGTAATTCCTTTTCTTTTATCACCTGTTACCCCAGCCCTGACCAACCACTAATGTACCTAGGTCACTGTAAATTTGCCTATTCAGAGCATTGTATATTAGTGGAATCATACAATATGCAATTTATGTCACGACTGACTTCTTTCACCTAGCGCAGTGTTTGCAAGGTTCATCCACGCTGCAGCATATGCCAGTACTCCATTTCTTTTTACTGATTAATAATATTCTACTACATGGCTATACCATCATTTCTTTATCCATTCCTCAATTGTTACATATTTGGGTTGTTTCCACTTTTTGGCTATTATGACTAATGCTTCTATAAACATTTGTGCACAAATTACATGTGTTTTCATTTCTCTTGGGTATATATACCTATGAGTAGAATTATTAGGTCATATGGTAACTCCTTTCATCATTTTAGAAAACTACCATGCTGTTTTCCAAAGTTGCTATGCAATTTTACATCCCTACCAGCAATGTTGAAGGGTTCATTTTCTCCACATCCTTGCCAACACTTGTTACATTATCTAACCTTTTGATTACAGCCATCTTAGTGAGCGTGAAGCAGTTTCTCATTGTGTTTTGATTTGCATTCGCCTAAGGAAATGACATTGAATATCTTTTCCTCTGTTTGTTGGCTACTTGTAGATATTCTTAGGACAACATTCTATCAAATCTTTTGTTCATCTTCACATCATGTTGTCTTTTAATGACTGAGTTGTGATTTCATGGGAGTGTGTGGGTGTTTGCATCTCCTGAATACCAGTTCTTGGCCAGCTGTGTGACTTAAAAATATTTGCTCCTAATCTGTGCATTGTCTTTTCACTTTCTTGATGGTGAATGTTGAAGCACAAAAGCCTTTAGCTTAATGAAGTTCATATCTTTTGTTATTCATGGTTTTGGTGATGTATCTAAGAATCCATTGTCTCATTGAAGATCATGAAGATTTACTTCTATGTTTTCTTCTAAGGGTTTTATAGCTTTATCTTTCATATTTAGGTCTTTGATCTATTTTAATTTTTGTGCATGATGTGAGATAGGTGTCCTACTTTATTCCTTTTCGTGTGGTTATTTAGTTGTCATAGAACCATTTGTTGAAAAGGCTATCTTTTTCTCCAAGTAATTGTCTTGGAAGCTTGTTGAAAATCCTTTGAGCCTAACTGAGAAGGGTTTATTTTTTGGATTCTCAATTCTGATCCATAATTTTATCTTGTGACAAAGTACTAGTAAGTAATTAAGTTAATTACAACTCTTTGCTCTAAACTGCTCTGGACTTTGAGCAATAATTGCTCTTACATGATTCTTACATGTTTAGGCAACTCATCATTGTTTAATTTCAGAGCAAACTTTTCAGAAGTGACAAATGATAAACTCTTTCCCCCAAATTTAAAACGAATAAACATAAAATGCTTTGAGGAGGTTCTAAAAACATTGAAGACATTCTAGGGTGTGGTAGCATTTGACGGAGAAATAACTGTCTCCTTCACTAGCTCCATTGTCAATTACACCCGGCTCTTACTTTCTCCTCAGGAACCCGCGCCCTCAAAGCTTTATTCATAAAGTTGAGGAGTACAGTTTCCACTCGCACCCGTTTTCTCTCTCCTGAGCAAGTGCTGCCATGTCTCCAAAAGCCACTGAAAATACTGTAGCTTCTAGAATTTTTTGACCACCTTTCCAGAACGCAATTTGTTCACTGCCCAAGCTGACAAAGAGTAGCGTAGGCAGGTGGCTCTGGCTGGAGCCCGCTCGCCTCCGGGGCGTCGCCCAAGCCTTAGGAACGCCAAGGTCCTGTTCACACTTGCTCGCCAAAAGCTCCAGAGCCCATTTTTACAGGCTGCCCCTTCTAAGTCTCCAGCCTTCCCCTTTGCTGTCTCCTCGCAACGCACCCCCCGCGGGCCTTATTTAACCCAGGGCACCACTGGTCTTAGTTGCACTCGCTCCGGGCCTCCTGTGCCCTGGCAGCGCTCCATCCCGGGGTGGCTCTGGGAGCCGCCCAGACTACCTGGGTTTTGCCTGATGGCGGGGTTTCCTGGGTCTCCACACTTGGACGCACATCCTCTGCAGTGTGCAGTCGCTTTGGCAGTGAAGCCGCGCAGCGACAGCAGCGCAGGGACGCGAGGTGCCGGCCAGGGTGGCAGCGGAGCGCGCACCGCGCACCGGCGGGACAAGGCCTGGCGGACTGGGCTGGGTGTGGCGGGGCGGAGGCTGCTGCCCCACCCAAGCCTGAGCTCGCCACCGAGGATTGCGTCGGCGGACTCAGCAAGGGGACGTGGGGCGCAGACACAGGGCCCCGGAGGACGCGGCGGCAGTCAGGGGTGCACGGTGTGCGCTGCGGAACTGACCTACTGACCTGCGCTGCCACTTTCCTAGACCACGCCGCTCAGCGCCGTGGCCATGCGCTCCCTGTGGAGAGAAATCCTCCTGGAGACCCTTCTGGGTAAGCTGAGGTCGCCCTCGCCGCAGGTGCCGGCTCCCCCCGGCCTTGCCCTAAGTCGCAGCTCTCGGCTGGCTTGGCTGAGCTCCTCCAGGAAGAAAAGTGTGCTCTGTGCCCAGAGGAGAGATGCTTATCGTCCCCTGGGAACTTCTGCTACCGCAGGGGGTGGGATGGGGTGGGGGTTGAGGGGGAAGACCTAGATTGAGGTTCCAAAGCTGAGGCGCCTGCAGAACACGGTGCCTCCTGAGTTCCCACGCCAGCCTGGGATTGCTCCCAAGGCGCGTTAATTCTCCACGCGTCAGCCTTGAAGTTGCAGGGCTGGTACCGCCCCCTAGCACCCCGACCCGTGATCGATCTTTATGTTTAACTTAATAAAGTGAAGTACTGAACTTTAATTTTCAGAAGGAAAGGCGCACCCGTTTTCTCCCGCGGCTGTGGGGAGCGCACTGGGCAGTAGCTGCCGCCGGCCGAGGCTGCGCATTTGGGCATTTGGCAGGAGGCATCGAACTGGAGTCCCGTGTGCTCACTCAGCAGTTTTGCCAAAAATCCCAAGTACCATTACTGGTGTGATTCTGTTGGATCTGTGTGATTAACATCAGAACTCCTAGACAACGTTCGGGAGACTGCTGGAATCTCGCTGTTCATTAGGAAATGAGCATGCCTCTGGCGGGGAGGGGTGCCTTCCTGAGAATTTACTTTGTGGGAGGGCCCATTTTTTCTGGCTCAGTCTGTATCTCATGAGTAAGGCCATGCAAAGCGATTGGCTATTAGTACCTAGGGTGCTAGGTACTCCTTGTACTTGATCTCATTTAATCTGAACAACTCCAAGGTGGTTGAAAGTGCTGTTTTGCTGATTAAGTTGGCAGAGGTGAAACCAACTTCAGGTCTAGGTACCCCACCACCGCATCCCGTTTCCTGAGGGTCGGGTGTCAAATAGTCTACTCTCAAGAAAATGCTTACTAACCGACCTGCCTTGGACCTGCCCTGAGGGTAGGTAGTCTGGAGTGGGAGGAGCGAGGCCGCTCCTTGTTGCTCTAGTTAGTTTTCATATTTCTCATTCTAGAAGCCAACTAAGGTAAGAAAATGTTACCCAAGTCTTGACAGGAGAGCAAATTCAGCCTGAATGTTCCACATGAAGAGGCTGTACTAAAGGGACGACCCGTGGGGGTGTGGCCAAGGTTGACGGAACCGAGGGAGGGCTGATGCCCAGGGACTGTCTCGCAGCAGCAGGAGGGAGCAATTCCCAACCTGGCCTACAGAGGAATTTTCTCACCGGAAGCCCCTTAAAGCCGCAGCTGTGACGGAGGGCAGCCGGCTGCAGCAGTCTCAGTGGGGGGGACGGCTCACTGCTTGAAACAGTGACTAGGTTACACTTTGCCTTTCTCTGAAAATTAAAAAAAAAATTTTTTTTCTTTCTAGGATATGTTTCTTGGTCTCTCTTGCATGGCCTGGCCCCAATGATTTATTACTTTCCCCTGCAAACACTGGAACTCACCGGGCTAGAAGGGTTTAGCATAGCGTTTCTTTCTCCGATATTCCTAACAAGCACTTCTGTCTGGAAGCTGGTTAAGAAGAAGTGGATGCTGACCCTGCTGCGGGTGATCACTGTTGGTAAGTTGAAAAGCATTTCTTTTACTTAAAAATCAGGTGAAAATATGGAGGCTTTTTTTGAATTCTAAATGATTAAATAAGAAAAATAAAAGACTTCTCTCTCTTACTACTACCTTAGAAGAGTTTTAGTAAAATTCGAAGAATAGACCAAAAACCAATGTATTTTACATTTCTCACTTTTCTCTCAGACTGGAAAGGCCTAAAAAAATCACAGAAATGAGGAGGGAAAAGAAACCTTGGTAACAGGTCAACTTTTGAACATAGTGTATTCTTTTTTCCCAAATGTGACACATAACTCAGAAACCCTTAAGAGCTGTTCAGTGACGCTGCATAGAAACACGAAAATCGTGCACGATGAAAGCCGTAGTAAGCGAAGTCCAGCGACAACTGGGGAAAAATATGTGTAGCTCTTTCAGTCAAGGGCTAACTTCCTAGTATATGGGTTTTTCACAATTCAATTAAAAAAAGGGACCAACAACTCAGTAGAAAAGGGGGCAAAGTAAACCATCAGTTTACTGGAAAGGAAATATAATTGGTTCTTAAAAATATACTGAAATGTATAGAATACAAATTATACTCAGAGTATATTTATACATAGTTTTACCTGTTGGATGGGAAAAGCAAATTGTGACTATGCTGTATCGCAAGGAGGGAAGGTAAACACGCACCCACTGTTGGTGGGAACGTAAGTCGGCAAACTTCTGCGGAGGGTAGTTTAGCAGTACTTACTGAAATCGCAAATGTGCACATACCCTTTCATCCAGCAATTCCACCTGTAGGAATATATCTTACAGTTATACTCACATGGGTGTAAAATGACAAAAAATACAAGGCTATTTAACCATTGCAGCAATATTTTAATAGAAAGATTGGAAGTAACCTAAATGTCACCTATGTGGGATAATTAAGTAAATCCTGGTTATGAAACTTGGGCTATTACGGAATACTTGGCATCCATAAAAAAGAATAAGAACTATTAGTTATGTAATGAAATGAAATGTTCTTCAAAATGTAGTAAGTGAAAAAGGGAGACACCGCAGAGTGTGCAGAATACTAACATTTGTGTAAAATAAGGTTAGATGAAAATATACTTAGTATATAATTGAACATGCATTAAATAGCTTTAAGACTAAAGCATCTGATAGCATTTTAGTTGCTTCCAGGGTGAAAAATAGGGTATATAGAGACAGGTATAAAAGGGAAACTTCGCACTATGTACCTCTTATAGCTTCTGAACTTGAGACTGTTTTATTATAAAAATAGCAATTAAAAAAACTTTAAATGTACTTTTACTAGCACTAAGAATTGAGCATATTGATATTAGTAAATGTTGAGAGACCTTGGCAAAGTAGTGGTAGTAAAAATGTAAGAAGGTGAGATCATGGAGAAAAGTTTAAAAAAACAACAACTCCCCCAGATTCCAGTCTGGCTGACGTGTGGCTGGCTGCAGACCCTGGACGTCTTGCCCTGTGCTAGAACACAGGTGACTTCTCTGAGTGGGCTTTCCCAGTGGCATTTGTTAATGAACCATGCCGTGTGTTTCTTCTGTCTGGAAGTGGTCACTTGACTTACTTCAGAAACACTGACAGGAATCACTAGCAAATTTCTTCCTGTTTTTTTTTTTTGTGTGTGTCTATCCCTGAAGAAGGCAGAACACAGTTAATGCAGTGAATTCTAGGGCTACCCACCAAGGTTTAGAATTCTGGTTTTTAAAAAGCTTGGGCTCCGAAAGAACACTGGTAAAGACCACTGAAAAATGTACCCAAATACAAAGTCATTTAATCATGTCAGGTGACCGTGAAATTTTGTGTCCCAGAAATAATAGAAATGAAGCTGTCTATTCTAAACTGAGTATATAGTAACTGAGTTCAACTGCCATTGGCTTACAGTGTCCTTCTGTGAATTATTATGGCCTGTGTGTTGCAAGTTTTGTTTTTACATTTCCCCCATACTTAAATTTCCTGTATGATTTTCAAAAAATTAATATACTTAAAAATCCTTACTTTTCAATTATAGTTGGCATTCAATATGATATTAGTTTCAGGTGTACAGCATAGGGTGAGACACTTATGTAGTTTACAGAGTGGTTCACTCATAAGTCTCGCACCCACCTGACATAATGTGTAGATATTATAGTATTATTGACTGCATTCCTTAAGCTGGGCAAGTTCACTTTCTCATCATGTTCCCTGGTTGGCTTTTATGGGGGTGGTCTCATCACTGGCACCTTTTTGTTGCCTTTGCTCAATGCTGTCTTATCTACAATACCACTGTCTGAGCAGTTACTGGGACAGTTTTTTTTTTATTATTATTATTTAAGTTCAGCTCTGGCCCAGGAACTTCTGGTGGCTATAAGAGATGTGATATTAAATAATTGGCGGGTGGGGTGATATTTGGGATGCTTCCTATTGTTCCCCTTTCACCTCCTTCCTCCATAAAACTCATTACCTTGGGTAGAGGTAGAATCATATTTGAGAAGATTGATTAGTGACTCAGAAATGGGGGCAAAGAGGCAACAATTTCTGCCAGATACTTTTCCAGGTCATTCTTGAGCTTTGAGGATGCTAAACTGAAGTTGAAGTAAGCCATAATTGGTCTTAAAACTCCCTTAGGATGCTTCTTAAGGAAACAAAACAACTTCAGTGAAGAGTCCTAAGGTGTCCTTTCACAACTACAGAGAAGAGCTGAGTGTTATGTGCTATCTTACCTCTGGCATCTCAGATATTTAAGGTTAATTACTGTGAAGTTAACTGTTAAACTTGTTTATACTCCTGTTGATTTAGTTTATTTTTTTACCTTAAAGATTGTGACCATCTAGAATGGCTATAATGAAAAAGACAGTAATAAGTGTTGTCAAGGATGTGAAGAAGTTGGAACATTCACACATTGCTGGTGGGGATGTAAAATGGTGCTGCTGCTTTGGAAAACAGTTTGGAAGTTTGTAAAAATGTTGCAATATGACCTGTTAACTCTATTCCTTGGTATATAAGCAAGCAAAATGAAAACATATGTTTACATAAGACCTTGCACACAAATGTCCAGAGCAGCATTACTTAATAGTAGCTAAAAAGTGGAAACAACCCAAATGCCCACTGCCTGATAAATGGATAAACAAAATGCAGTGTATCCGTGCAATGAAATATTATTCAGCCATAAAAAGTAATGAAATATCAAGACATGCTACAACATGTATGAACCTTGAAAACATTATGCTAAATGAAAGAAGCCACTGACAGAAGGCTACATATATGATTCATTTATATGAAATTTTACAAATAGAAAAATTTCATATGGACAGGAAGTAGACAAATGAGTGCTGGGGGTGGGGAGGAAGAAAAAGGAGTGAGTGATAACAGACATGGGTTTCTTCTTGGGGTGATGAGAATATTCTGGAATTAGGGGTAATAGTAACACAACTTTGTGAAAGCATTAAAAACCATGAAGTTGTACACATTGACATGGTAAATTTTATGGCAAGAATGATATCTTCATAAGATTTTAAAAACTTTATATACATACGCACTTAGATATTAACTTCATCTTCTGGAGTCCAAAAATGATATCAGACACAGTAGTTAGGAAATGCGGAAGACTGAGTACCAGTGCATGGTTGCCAGAGACACTTGGCATTTAGTTCTCCTTACTTTGTCCGTAGGCAGCATAGCCTCCTTCCAGGCTCCAAATGCCAAACTTCGGCTGGTGCTCCTTGCGCTTGGCATGTCTTCTTCGCTGATAGTACACGCTGTGACGTGGTGGACAGGAAGTGGTTTGCAAAGGTATGTTCGTATCCTGTGCCCCTGTGGATAAATAAGTGTAGTGATCAATTACCAAAGGGAAAGTTGGGACCAAGAGTCCCAGGTTATAGTATTTACCTTCCACCTGGACTTGAAGAAGTCTCTTTTTTCTCCCTTTGCACAAAATCCAGACATAAATACCTGCCTCAGTCTTAATGTTTTGAGAATGACAGCATTTTGACAAGTTGCCTAGCTAATGGGCTAGATAAAGGCTACGTCATGTATATTGCTGCAAATTACCAGCCAGACTATTCCATATATTCATGCTATAAAACTAGAAAATTCATGATGGATATAGTTCATTGAAACCACATAACAAATTGTTATAAATACTTTTGCACTTACAGGTACCTCAGAATCTGGGGATTCATTTCAGGACAGATTCTTCTCATTGTTCTCCGCATATGCTACACTTCACTAAACCCAATCTGGAGTTATCAGCTGTCCAACAGAGTGATATTGACGTTAAGTACCATAGCCACACTTGATCGCATTTCCACAGGTAAGTAAGTGCATGCCCAATTGATTTTGGGATTTTTCTCTCTTGCATCATTTACATTTCTGATCGGAATGTAATATATCTTGGGAAGATAAAAATAGTCTTTCTGTACTATTTCTCTATTTCGACTTGTCCTCCCTCTGAAATACTCACAGGTGCAGTCAGTAGACTATTATCTGAGCAGAAGGCACCTTGTCCTTGCTCATACAGGGAGTGGAAATAAAAAGCTGTCTCTGGCTTGCATCACTGTGGAGAGGGAGGTTAGAGGAAGCCCTATGCTTCCAGCAGGATTTCAGCCTCTCTCTTTCTCCTCTTCTCCCTGGACAGAGCTTTCCAGGATGGGATCCTTCCTCCCTCTTCCTCTGACCCCAGTGTACCTCTCGCATAATGGAAAGAGGCTTTGCTTGGGGTGACGGGTGCACGATGCTGTGTGCAGATGATGTTTTATTGAGTTGTACACCTGAAGCCTCTATGGTTTTGTGAACCAATGTCACCCCAATACATTCAATTAAAAGAAAGCAGAAGTTATTTGTGAGCTAGGGCTGTGGGAACTATCTGGGCTTTTTATTTCCAGGAGTCAGGAGATACTTAAACTCTAAATGTGAAACTTGAAATGAAAGGAAAATCTTGTTCATTCACGCCACCATTCATATCACCTGTTTCTCTCTGGAACTGACTTTCTCCAAGATAGACTTATATCCAAGATAGACTTGGATGTTGGCTTCTTATGCTAACTTGAGACCCTTCTGAAAAGAAAGGAAGAGTGTTACTAGATTCTAATTAATTTGCTCCTGGCTTTTTGTGTAACTCTCAATGAGTCACTGTTCTTTTGTAAATACAGGAGAAACCTCACAGACTCCTGGAAGTTTAGAGGATTCTGGCTCACCATGAACAAAGTGCTCGTGTAGTCCCCCTCTGGCCTCAATTTTGGCATGAGTTGGGGTGAGTGAGAACAGAAAAACATCATATGAGCAAACTGATAAGTGAGCTTAATATGAGTTAGAAAATTTAGAACTTGGTTTAGTGCCCTAAGATATGTTTTATATTTTATAAAACACTAATATCTGAATGTGGAAACTCAGGTAGCAAGTTTCACAGGTACAGCCTGATAAAAATCTGAACTTCAGGGTGTCTTTTACATTTCCTGACTTGTGTTTTCGTCTTTCTCGCTTCTGTTTTAAATTGATGTGACCCAGTTGTCAGTCCCTTCCTGCTTTTTCCCCTGTGCCCACATTTACATAACTCCACAGTCCTCACCAGCTTCCCAGCATAGCTGATCACACCAGGCACTTTTTGTAGTTTTATTGAGTATTTGCTGGGTCCTGGGGGAAGGCTCACCCACCATAATACACAACATGTTGCTCAGCACATTCACCTTAGGTGTTCATCTTCTCCAAAGACTGTCTGCTGAGCCTCCAGGCCTCCACCTACCCTCTGTCTTCACCACCCTCCCCTTCATCTCCATAGCTCTCAGCTCTGCTCCTCCTTCCTCTGGCTTCTTTGTTGGCAGAATGGCTTTCTTCTTGTGCAATCGGACTGCCAGCCCCCAGGGAGTCCTTCCATCCTGCAAAGAGCTTCACACTGTCATAAAGCATCTGCCCAACAGGCCCTCTGCTCCTATAAAGAAATTCTGCCAGCATTTCCTACACTGGTTACATTTTTGTGCAGTAAGTCACTTATGCAATGAGGTGAGGCCTCTTGGTTAAACAGTCCCAGGAGTATCGTCTAGGTAAGTATGCAGGCACTGGAGCTGGATTGCCGAAGTTCTGATCCCAGCTTCTCTTTCCTTGGACAAGTTACTTGTTGTCTCTTTAGGTTTTAGTTTTCTAGTCTGTAAAATAAGATTAGTAATAGAGCCAATTTCACGACGTTGTTGTGAAGATTAAATGAGCTCAAAAAAGGGCTCGGAACAGGACTTAGCCTACAGTTACTGCTCAGTCAATGCACTGTCATTACTCTGGGTGCCCAGGGGCGCAGACAGCAGCCCTGTTCTTTTGAGGCAAAGCAGCCTGGTGCACTGGGAACATTCCACTCGTTTGCGCCCTGAACTGCATTGGTTCCCTGAACACACCGTTCACTTTTCCTACCTCTATTTTTGCTCCTACTGTTCAGTTCATGCGAAGCAAATAACTTGTGGCATTTTCATGTGTCAAATTCCAAGATGCTTTGTTCTCCTTAACCCATTCCTGATCCAGCCTACCAAGAATGATCTCTCCCACCGACTAGCTTTCCACAGATTCCGCTTTGTATGGTAGTTGCATGTCTCATCCCGCCTCTAGAGTTAGCTCCTTGAAGCTGGATGCCGCTTCTTACTCGCTGAATGCCTGTTAAATGGAGAGGGTACGCTTCTGTGTAACTGACCTTTTCCCTTTTTTACCCCAGATGGTGACTGCAGTAAGCCTGAGGGAAGAAAGAGCAGCCAGGCAGCCAAGGGGGTGGCCTGCAGGTCTCACTGGCTGTTGGCCGGGGCTGCCTTTGGCAGCCTTGTGTTCCTCACCCACTGGATTTTTGGAGAAGTCTCTCTCGTTTCCAGATGGGCAGTGAGTGGGCATCCTCAGCCAGGGCCAGATCCCAACCCATTTGGGTGAGTTTGGGTGTGGGCATCAGCTGTTATGGTTGAAGAAACAAATTCCTTCTTGGTGTTGGCACAGTGATGACCTGTGATGGCCAGATATTGCCTAGACTACTTTCTTTAGGTATCAGAAATGTGGCACGAGCTTATTGTGTACTTTGGAGATGGGGGAGCCAGAAGGGCCTTTGTCCCAGTGGTACAGGGGCACTGAGGGAGGACTGAGGACTGGGCACAGCTAAGTAATGGGCTCTGGGTGCTCCCACATGGGCATCCTGAGGCTCTGAGGCATCCCCACATAGAAGATCATTCTCAGTGCCAGGGAAGGCATGGCACTACCTGGCCATTTTCTCCAAACCCCAACCCCCCACCTTATTCCACTTATGGGAATTTGGTAGGTCAAAATTGGAGTGCCCTTGTGAGGGACTGGGTTGGCAGCCTGGGTGTAGATCTTTATTCTCTGCAAGGGACGGAAGCTCTGCAAGACCTCTGCATCCTCGGGTGCTTTGAAACCTGCTCAAGCAGTCAAGGAGTTAGCAGTCATGAGTTTAAGCGCTGGTCCATGTGCTTGGTCCTCATGAACCTTTGCTCTGCTTTTCCTGATATCTTTTTCTCTCCAGTGGTAAAGTCCAACCCTTCTTCATGTTAAAAGATTGGAGGGACCTTTAAAACATTTGCCTCAGACACCTGCTTTCTCTTACAGTGCTGAAATTCCCGCATCTGGATACATGTCACTGCCTGCTGAACCTTACCCCAGCAAACATCTGCGTCTATCCGGAGGTGTCTCAGGCTCAGCATGTCCGCATCCAGATTCAGCAGCGCCTAGTCCCCAGACACGTTCTTCCTCCTCCATGCCTTGTTCACTCTGCCAAGTCATCCTAGAACTCTGAGTCTTCCTCATTGGCTGCATCTAACTGGGCATTTAGTCCAATAGATTCCCCTGCTTCTCTGAAAGAATCTATCCCTTCCTCCCTATCTGCAGCCTTGTCTACTGGAGCGGAGTCCTCCTCATCTTTCACCCAGTCTTCTAATGGTCTCTCTTCAGCATGGTGCTCTCTACACTGCCTGGAGTGATCTCTTTAAAATGCATATTGGACTCCATCACTTTCTTGCTTAAGACCTGTCAGGGTTTTTTTCTCCTCCCATACCAAGTCACATGAGACAGTGTTCTGAATGTGTGCAAATAGAATGTTAGTTCCCATGGGCTCTCAACATCTCGTTGGCTGTTTTGCACTCATGTTATCTCTTGGGTATATCTAGAGGTAGGAGATATTTTTCTGTTGTATATATGGGACAATGACATATGAACAATGTCAGAAGTCTTATGGCATGTCCTTTTTTTGACAGAGGTGCAGTTCTGCTGGGTTTGGTGAGCGGATTGACACTTTCGACTTGTTCGTGGTTCCCGGGTACCAGTTTCATCTGGTGGGTTACAGGTATGTGGAGTTTACCTGCAGGTGTGCCAGCCATTGAGCTCAGTTGTCCAATTTATTGTACGTGCAGGCATGTGCACCTAGACTGGAAGTAGATGACCGAAACAGCAAACATGTGCTGTTGCCAAGCGGGCTATTACGTAGAACCAGCTGCAGCCCCTATGACCCAGATGTCACCATGCTTGCCAGTGACAGTTGGCTCCAGATTTCACTTCCTCCTATTTCATTTCCGCTCTCCTCTTGTGGCTGTCTAAGTCTGACCTGACCATGCTGACGTATCTCCCTCATCTCCCAAATGACTCATCGAAGACGGGTGTCAGGTGCCTTCAGATTTACCAAAGGCCTGAGGAGACGGAGGGTCGCACGTTGCCCTGCGGCCAGACCTCCACTGCTCTCTGAGATTGCTTGCTAAACTGGTTTGCAGGAATGCCCTCCTTTGGGACTCTGTAATGAAGCTCAATTTCCCTATCTGTTTTATATGTAACAGTTTAGTTCCTCACCCTTCTCTCCAGCTTTAGGGTCCCTGTTGGCTTATTCAAAGACTTGGACCATCTTCTCCCTCTAGAGTCACAGAATATTGATGAAGCTATGATGCTTCAGGAGCATTCTATTTATCTTCCTGTGGCTGAATTAGCTACTCTTCTCCCTTCCCTTAAAAAACAGCAGACATGGTTAGAGTCAGTTTTAGTGTTAAATAAAACAATTCTCCCCTCTCTGGCAGGGCCAACGGTATGTTTGATTTCTGTGAAATGTCTTTTTACATGTTAAGTAAGCAGGTGAATCTGAGTGTTGCACTAGATGCTGTGTGGATGTGGGAAAATATATGTATCGGTAATAGAAGTGGGTAGAATAACACGAGAAGTAAATGTCTGCACACCCGACATGCCGTCACCCTTTCGTGGAGACGTTCATGTAATCCACATAGGTTGCTCAGTTAATGGCCAGGTCCTCATCCTCCTGGAGTGGTGAGAGCAAAATGTGGTCACGTCAAGCTGTTTTCTGGTAGGCATTCCCTGTGGGGTCTGAGGAAGTTTGTATGAATATTGGAGTAATCTTTCTTCTCGTCAGAGAGATGCCTCATGAGATTCTTCAGGCAAAGGACCAGAGAGCTTTGCTAACGCTGAGTTTGCAATGAGCGTATATAGCTTCTTTTTTTAAATGATGAACCTGCAATGCTTTGGTTTGCAGCCTGCGCTCAATCCACTGAACTATGCCAGCCAGGGCTGTATATAGCTTCTTAATCTGCATGCAAAAGAGAAAAGGGACATGGAATACAATTGAAAGTTCATAAGCATTTATATCATACTTTTGTTCATGGAACAGAAGCAAAATGCTTATGGGGAAGATAATTAGTAGCTTCATTTTAAACATGGGAGAAATGAGGTCCACAGACATACCAACTTGTTAACAGAAAAGCTGTGACTTCCAGTGTTATTACGCTTGCACTTACTTTCCCAGATAAGCAAGGTCTTACCCATGAGAGTGAAATCCAATCTAGTGTTGCGGTCTCTCTGGAGTGTAAAATGGTAGTTTAAAAGACTCTTGGGGCAAACAGATTCAAGGCTTCTAATAGGCTCTTTGCTGTAGATAGGAGAGCAGGGCCATAATTCAGGAGCTTCATCTCCCTCTCGGATCACCTACTTACCCAAAATAAGCTGGACTTCACACTTAATTATCTAGAGATGGGGCCCACTTTTCACTGATTCATCTCTGAAAATCACATTAAAAAGCAGCCTGTGGAAAAATAAATTATATTTTTTCATTGTACAGTTAAAGTCAGAAATTCCAATTGAAGTTCAGCATGAAATTAATTATGGCACTGACCAGTAGCATTTCATAAATGCAAAGAGCTTGAAATCTTGATGGCTATTAAATTAATAAACTCAAAATTCTATTTAAAAAAGTGTACTAAATGCATTCATAGGATGCCAGTGTATTATACAATGTGCCTATAATTTATTGTATGAAAAATCTGATCTTTTGAAAATAAACATATTAGACATTATAAATAATACTATTGGAATGTTCAATTACCATTAATTCTGTTTGATGTCTTAGGTGTTGTAAAGATTTGGAGGAAATTACTTGGGAGACTCAGTTGCAAACAAAAAATAGTTACAGTGTATGCTTAAATGAGAAAGGTAAAGTGACTAAGCGTGTGTGTCATATGCCACCACTGGTGTAAAAAAGGAGGACTGTGCACACATGTGCATTTCTTTCTATGCGTAGTGTCTCTGGAAGGATGCAGAGGAAGCTAGCATCAGTTGTCTTCACTGAGGGGAACCAGTGGATGATGATGATCAGAAGGACTCTTTTGTACTCTTGAATTTTGGGTTTTTGAATAGAGAGCCTTTTAGAAAAATACACCTTTTGTGGACTTAAAAAATATAGCCTATGCAAAAAAATAGAAAGTAAATTAAAAATAAAGGCAATAACAGTCAAGGGAAATTTGAAGGGGTGTTTTCTTTCCCTCCAGACGGTTCTCTGCAGTAAGACAGAAGAAACAAAGTCATTCTGATATCTTTAGATTAGAATATCAAATCAGGACTCATTCTTTGAAAAGTTAATCATTGTAAGTTAATAAACAGAAAAAAAAATAATCTCACTAATAAATATTGGGTTGGCCAAAAAGTTCATTTTTTTCCCCCTAAGATAGTTCTGGTAGCTCCTAGTTGTCTTTAACTTCATCTGAACTGTTAGATTGAATTGTGAAAGCTGTCATATCAGCATGCATTAAAAAAAAACTTCATCCAAATTGGTGAATTTTTGTGTAGCCATTTTAATATTGAATATGAAGAAAATATGTAACATTTCCAGCATATTATGCTTTATTATTTCCAGAAAGGTAAAAATGCAACTGAAGTGCAAAAAAGATTTGTGCAGTGTGAAGAGAAGGTGCTGTGACTGATTGAATGTGTCAAAAGTGGTTTGCAAAGTTTTGTGCTGGAGATTTCTCACTGGATGAGGCTCCATGGTCAGGTAGGACAGTTGAAGTTGATAGAGATCCAATTTAGACACTAATTGAGAACAAAGTTATAACACGTGGGAGATAGCCAACATACTCAAAATATCCAAATCAATAAAGTTATTGGTAAAAATGAAAAATGTGTCTTTCATTTTACAGAAAAAGCTAGGTGAACTTTTGGGCCAACCCAATATATGTCATTTAAAATGTTATACTATTTTCATCATTAATTTGGCAAAGATTTTTAGAAAAAATAATTTTCACCGGGCTCCAGAGGTGAGACTTTCGGGGAGGTGCCTGGAGGAAAAGAACACTGGTACAGCCTTTCGGGAGAGCAGGTGCCACGGATCGTGACTCTTTAAGACCCTTCTACCTCTTAACACAGTCATTATCCTTCTAGGAATCCATTTAAAGGAGACAATCAGAGCTGTAGTAAGAGATTAATTGACAAAGAAAAATGTTCCTCACAGTGTCAGAAGCTTCATACATGGCCAATGATAGGAAAATGGATGCTTATATTGCAGTGTATTTATCCAGTGGAATAATATATATGCATAAAATGTTTTAGGCAAAAATTAATAACATGAGAAAGTGTTCTTGATATAATGTTACATAAGGAGCAGAACATGATCTTTAATATATGGTATGATTTTATTTACCTAAAAAATACTCCCATATAGACATAGAAAAAGATAAGGAGAAATAACATTAGAGAATCGACCTTGGTTATCTTAGTCTTAGGCAGTTGTTAATTGATTCCTTACAGTTCTATATATTTTTTAAATGTCTATAGTGACTAGGCATTACATTTGTTTTATTTCAAAATGAAAATTTTTTTCTGTTATGAAAATAACCATTGCTGAATATAAGTGTTGGATGGTCTCACTGTGGGGTTAAAGTCCGTGAGTTGGAGAGGGCCCTCGAACCTGGTTCTCATGCTTATCTGACTGATGGTCTTTGAAGTGGGGGGAGTAGAGAGTCACTTGGCGTTGTCCTGTGATGGTGCAGGCAGAACCTACTGATGGAGGTGAGCCCGTGGGGCACAAAGAAGCTGGCTGCAGCCACTTCCTGCCCCCTTGCTGGCTTTTCTGGAGTTCCTGCCTGGAGCAGTGAGGAGTCTGCAGCAAACACCCTTGAAGGGTGGGTCACGATGATCCAATGCTGATTGAAATGTCTAGCAAATGGCATATTCTATGGAAAAGTGTTATATCAATGGCTCCAAATTGGGGTGCTGTAAGACCCTGAGATGCCTTCTCAAAGCTGATTTCACAGAAAGTAGGAGAATTGTTGTATTTCCTCAGGATTGGCTCAACAAGTTAGCCAACATTTGCGAAGTGCCTGCTGCAGGCCAGGCAGATTGCACAGCCCCCCCCACCCCCGCCCCGCCCCATGGGGCTGCTGGATAAGGGGTGAGCTGCCTGTGGACTCACTAAAGCAGGGTGTCTACAATATCGTCTCACTCACATCTTCCCTTGGGCCCCCGAGGTCGGGAAAGTCAGTTTACTTAATGTAGGACAAGGGGCAGGATTTAAATGGATGGCGATGCCTTTAGGAGGGTCCTTAACAAAAACATTCTAGAAACCACACTGGCTCTACATGTTTTCTAATGTCCTGGGTCTGGCTAGTTAAATAGCCCTGTTTTGGGTATTACAGGTAAGTTCACTTTGTTCAGTTTTTATTGCTCTTAGGATCTAAAATAATCTAAAAGTGCCTTCTCCTCTCCACCCGCTATTCCTGAAGAAATATCACTGGACTGAGCATCATTAGACCCACATTCCATCAGCAGCTGTGCAAGTCACCAGCTACGTGACTTGTAGCAAGTCACATTAACCTCCTAGACTGCATTTTCTCCTTAGTGTGAGGATTGGACCAGCATGCCCCTGAGGTCCCCTCTGGCTCTAAATGGCTATACATTAGTCATCCTATAAGCTTATTATCCCTCCCCCCTTTTTTTGAGACAATGGAAGAGACTGTTACTGCTATTCCCGTCTGATTCTTTTTCTTCTCCCAAACACAGGAGCGGCTTCGGCTGCGGGTCTTCTTTACTTGCCCACTTGGGCAGCTGCTGTTTCTGGCTGTGTCCTCGCCCTCTTCACGGCGTCCATGTGGCCTCAAGTGCTTGGGCACCTTATCAGCTGCAGCTCGAGACCTGGGAAAAGCATGACCATTGCTATGGTGTTTTATCTGCTAGACATATTTTTCTGTGCATGGTGCACCGCTTTTAAATTTGTCCCAGGAGGTGTCTACGCCAGAGAAAGATCTGACATGCTTTTGGGTGAGTGCATTTGAGAGGTTTGGATTCAAGCAATAACTACTGGGAATTGTCCTTCAAGACTGGGATTTAGTACTTTACATGCCAAGTGGAAATAAAGAGAATGATCTGGCATTTCTCATTAAAATGGAGTCTATGGATTTGGTGGAAAAAAAAACCCTGGAAGAATGTCTAAGTTACTACTTAAAAACAGATTTCTTCATGTGTCTGAATTTCAGTGCCATGTATTACTTAAAGTCCTTTTAAGTAAGTTAGGGATGGAAAACAAGTTTCACTCATAATAAAGTATAAAAGGGGTCCTCTGTGACACTTGTGCTCTGTGCTGTGTGGGGAAAGGGTACGTGATACGATGCTCACATTGCTGCTCCAGTGGTGGGCTTGTAATATATACCGGAACTGTGATTTGTTTGGTTCTCCTGAATTTTATCTGTGATTTTTATTTACTATATTTTTACCTATCAAATATATTTTTGCCTATATGAATCTTAGTGCAAATGACAAATTCCCAAATTATAGAATAAACATATTTTTTTCATTTCAGTGGTTATGAACTTATGTACCAGAATTTAAGTTTTATAAACTTACCTTGGTTTTTAAACTTACTTGGTTTTTAAAACTTGTAAACTTGGTTTTAAAAGTTGTCTGCTGGCAATAATGAAATGACTGACGTATAATAGACAAATCAAATGTTGCTTATCATTTTAGTTCAAGTAAACCTGTCAGACGCTTCCACTTTTAAAAGTGAGGAGACAAAGCACGTTAGTAGGGGGTTCAGTTCTTGTTGGTTCATGCATTCATTTTTCCATTTGTTCATTTACTCATTAAAAAGTATTGTCTTACATGTCCTGTGTTCCAGCCAAAGTGCCAGGTGCTAGAGATTTAAGGAACATAGTATCCTGGCCCATCTGAAGCTTCAGTGCAGTGGGGGGAAACACCATGCATAAAATTAGACAAATACTTGTGGAATTACAGGTACAGGGAGTGTGCACCCAACTCTAGGCTTCCAGCTGGGAGTCTTTGCAGCTCCCCTCCCCACCCCTGGCTGCGGTGCCCTTGGTGTACATTCAGCTACTCTGTACATTTTCACTAAGCTTTTCTGTTCCACCAGCTAGACTTCTGTCAGGACAGGCTGATTTGGAAGACATATTTTTAAATAACAGGAAATATTTGACATGACTTTTGAGAATTTGATATTTCTGGCAAATCCCAAGCTCTCATCCAAGTAGAGAAACCCATCGCTGCATTTCCTCTGCGATAATCTTGGCTTTGCGAACTTGGTATTTCTTCTGGTTTCTTTCAGGTGTGTGTGCTCTGTCCCGCTCTGTCTTCCTGTCCAATGCCAGGCTTTTTCCTTACTCCGGCTTGCTTAGGGGTCTGCCATATGGAGAAAATGAATGAAAGTAAGAGCCATTCTAAACACGTTTATTTCTTTAGAGTGTCATGAATGATGTGCTTTGAGTGCCTTCTCAACTGATTTTTCTTTTTTTAGTAAGAGAGGCATTATATTCATAGGCCCACAAAATCAAGAAATGTTGGTCATGTTCACAGTGGCTTTAATACAATGGAAAAGAATCTGCATTAAATAAAAAACTACTTATAAATTTATTATCTGGATTTTTCCTGCTATTTCCTGGAAATTACACATACATATTTTTTTTGGCTAACCTCCACCTAGAATTAACCGTTACTTGATACTTCCTAATTCGTGTGTACTAAATACCTGTTCAGTCATACCTATTTCCATGCTTATTAGATCCAGTCTTACAATGAAATGCATCTCCTAACTGAGCTCAACTTTACTGACTCAGCCCGTGGGCATGGGGAGTGTCCTGGCATGCACCTCTGTGTGGAGCCTGTGCCCAGAATACCCACGTCCCAGGCCAGCATTATTGCCACAAAGGCTGCCACGCTGGGAACCTACACAACCTCTCCTGTGTGCCTCATCTTGGCCCATGTGGAATCCGTTGAGTGGAGGAGATTGGGTGCCTAAGGCTCTCTTCTCTTGAGTTCCACCCTCCTTTGCCTTATCAGCAGCGATGCACGCTCTCAATGATCTAACAAGGAAACACTCATAAAATTGAAAAAAATTCATTGGTTCTACCTTGCTGATTGCTTATGACCATCCCAATGACCAGAAGTACACTAGTAGAGTGTCTGCTTAGGTACTGAGATAAATTCACTTGACTGAATTTTCAAGGTGTTCCCATTTCATTGAAACGTTGGCTCCTGGAATTTATCCTTGGAAGGATTTTTGGACTAAATGTAATATAGATTATTGTATTTTTTTCTCTTTTAATAGGGACAGTGATGGTAATTCTTGGACTGAATATGCTGTTCGGTCCTAAGAAAAGTCTTGACTTTTTTCTTCAAACAAAAAACAGCCCTAAAGTGCTTTTCAGGAAGAGTAAAGAATACATGAAACTTTGTAAGTAGAATTTTCCTTTCTTTTTTTAAAAGCAGCTATTAAAATAACAACTCTTCAAACACATATGAAATTAAGAGTATAATGAACTCTTCACCCAGTTCCATCAATTATTAACTGTTTTCCAATGTTATTAACAGCTACCTTCCCTACTTTTTTTTGGTTAAATACTTTATTTTTATTTTTTTAAAAAATTTAAAATTTATTTATTTTTAGAGAGAGGGGAAGGAAGAGAGAAAGAGAGGGAGAGAAACATTTACATGTTAGAGAAACATAGATTGGTTGCCTCTCGAACGCTCCCAAATTGGGACCCAGCCTGCAACCCAGGCATGTGACCTAGCTGGGAATTGAATGAGTGATCCTTTGATTCACAGGCTGGTGGTCAGTCCACTGAGCCACGCCAGCCAGGGCTTGGTGAAATACTTTAAAGCAGGGGTGTCCAACCTTTTGGCGTCTCTGGGCCACACTGGAAGTAAAGGAGTTGTCTTGGGCTACATATTAAATACATTGCAACAAGTAATCACAAAAAAATCTCATCAGGTTTTCAGTAAACTTACAGTTTTGTGTTGGGCCGCATTCATAGCTATGCTGGGCTGCACGAGGCCCATGGGCCGCAGGTTGGACACCCCTGCAGCAAATGTCTGACTTCAGGTCGTTCCAACCATGAATGCTCTGTGTTAGTTCTGCTTCACTTCTAACATAGGTAAGATGATTTTAACAGGTAAAATTTCCAAAACACCTTGTTTTAATAGTCGAGACTATTTATTTTATTTCTTGCTCTCCTGTTTAGGAGATTAAATGTGTTCACTTTTGCACTACTGATGAACTAGACACTCAAACATGAAATAAGTTTACTGTGAAACATGACTCATTTCAAGTGTACTGGATTAAATATTTACTGCATGTATAAAATTTGCAGATAGCTTAAGATACAAAAAATTTCATAACTACATAGTGTTGTATAGATTTAAAGATGTATAAAAACTGGTTTCCATCCTCAATAAGTTGATAGTTTTCTAAAGAAGACAAAATATTAAAGAATAAAGAGGTAGAAAACAATTAAGAAGCTGAATAAAATTTCAATGTATTTCTAAAAGAAGTGTTACAAACCAGTAAGACCATTATATAAAAACCTGAATATGGCCCTGGCTGGTGTGGCAGTGGATTGAGTGCCGACCAGTGAACTGAAGGGTCACCAGTTCCATTCCCAGTCCAGGGCACAGGCCTGGGTTGCAGGCCAGGTCCTCAGTAGGGGGTATGAGAGACAACCAAACTGATGTTTCCGTCCTTCTCTTCCCCTCTATAAAAATAAATAAATAAAATCTTAAAAAAATCCCCGAATATGTATTCTATTATAATTTGAAAAGATTATTTTAAAATTTAAGGGGTCTACAATTTAAGGAGTTTTTTTGTATTCTTGTTTCATTTGTGTTCCATGAAACCAGGGTCTGGCAGTGTTTGCTTGATTGTTTTTAATCCTGACAGTCTTTGTCTTTTTTAAAAATTTATTATTAAGAACCGTAATTCTTTAGTTGATTCACCAAATTCAGGCATTTGGAACAGTTTACTTGCAAAGTTGTTCAGACAGTTTTATATGATTTTAAAAAATATACTTTATTTTTTAGAGCCATTTTGGGTTCATAGCAAAATTGAGCAGGAAGTGCAGAGGTTTTCCGTACACACTCTGACCTCACAGACACACAGCTCTCCCCCCTGCTCCTCCTCTGCTATCAATACCCCCCACTGGAGTGGCACATTTATTACTCCTGATGACTGTACACGGATGCATCACTATCACCCAGTGTCCACAGTTTGCATTAGGGCTCATTCTTGGGTTGCAGATTCTTTGGGTTTGGACAAATGTCTAGTGATGTGCATGCACCATCATAGTCTCACACAGATTAGTTTTGCTATCTAAACATTCCTTGCCTTCCACCTATTCGTCCTTTCCTCCCTCCTCCCAACTCCTTGCAACCACTCTCTCCATTGTTTTGCCTTTTCTAGAATGCCAGTCTTTGACTTTTAACTTCAAAGTTTAATCTCTTTTAATTGCAATTTCTTATGTATTATAATTTATTGCTATCATTTTCCTTTTCCTTTTCTTTTTCTACTTTCTCTAGGTATATTTTTCCTTATTTATCTTCTTGCTTTCTTTTGAACTGACTGGGTTTTTTATTCATCCCCCACCTCCCCACTTCTCTTTCTAGTTTGGAAATTATACCTTCAATTTCTGTTCTTTTAGTAGTTGCTTCTCCGCCCCCGCCCCCAGCACTTAAAGATACTCCCCTGTAATCTGGCTTTTATTTTTGCTGATGAGAAATCAACTGTCATAATTTTTGCTCCTTTGAAGATAATCTGTCTTTTCTCTCTGGCAGCTATTATGATTCTGCTTGGTGTTCCACAGTTCCATTGTGATATATCTAGATGCAGATTTTTCTCCCCCCACCCCACCCACCCCTCATCTTACTTGGGAGTCTTCGGGGCTTTCTGAATCCAAGGGTCAAGTCTTTTATAAATTCTGGAAAATTCTCTGCATTATTTCTGCAAATACTGCCTTTCTCTTATTCTTTCTCTTGTTCCTAATCCTGACAGTCGTGCTCTTCTTTCCTTTTTGACTCTAATTAGACATGTGTTGGACCTTCTTATTCTCTTCCCCATATTTCTTAACCTCTTTCATATTCCTTACCTTTGTTTTTAAGTTATCCCTGGCACTAAATCTGTACTCAGCTTCATCTAATCTGCTGTTTGTCTTGTCCATGGAGTTTCTACTTTCAATTATAGTCATTATTTAATTTTATTTCTGCAACTCTATTGTTCTCTTGACAACTTTTCCCGATCATTGATTTAGTTTCGTGTTCCTCAGTCATACTTTGAATGCCCTATTTATTTTTCTAAACATGTTAAACATCTATTTTATGTTCTGATTCTCAAAGTTCAATATCTGAAGTATTTATGGGCTTGATTCTTCAGGGTGTTCTTTCCTGCTGCTGGTTCCTGCTCCTGGAGAGTTGTTGTCTCATGTGTTATTTTCTGTATCTATTTATGAGTTATTTTTACTTTAAGCTCATAGTCATTGGCATATGTTAGGGAAGATTCTTTGAAACCTGGTTTTAAAGTATGGGTTAAATATGCATGTCATACATGAAAATTAACCCAGGAATTAGACATTTCCCTTTTGCATAAAATCTTTGATTAATAGGATCAATAATTTCATGAAAATTATTTTAAGCGAACTTAATTTCTTTTAAACAAGTATCTTTTCTTCCTGTTTAGTTTTGTGGCTGCTTGTTGGTGTTGGGCTATTAGGATTAGGACTACGGCATAAAACCTATGAGAGCAAATTGGGCAAAGGGGTAAGTAATTAAAAACCTTAATATAGGTTTATATGATATATATGCATACACATACAATATATATGCTTCACCATTGTGATTGAACTCTAGACCTGGATGTAATGAATTTAGGGCCCTATGTCTCTTCTTAGCCCTTAGGTCAGAAGCTGATTATAACATAGTAGAATAATTTTATGAAGTTGGGTTGGTTCTTGGGTCAGTATAGACACATGTAATAGAAACAAACTGCTCATGATTTTATTATATGAAGTTATTTTTGTCATCCCATGAGTTAACACATCTAAACTATGAAATAAAGCACTATTTTATAATGGGCTTCTTTTACTGCCTGGTAGATATTACTAGAGGCAATGATGTGAGATTCTTTGGCTTAAGAAAAAACTTATAGATAATTCTTAATTTTGCAGATTTAAGGTAACTTGTGTATTGATGACTTGTGGAAGTTTTCTTGTCTCATTCTTTTCCCTCTTGCTTGCTCTCTACAATTTTATGCATTTTATTTTTCTCTCACTCTGATAGAAAGGTGGGCAAGAGAAAGTCCTTGCCATATCATGCTTTCTATCTGCTCTGATAAAATGGTTGATGTGTTCTGTAATGTAAGGTAGTGTTAGTTTTGGGCAGAATAGAATTTGCAGGTTAACTTTGGATTTTAGCAATCTGCATTGCCAGGCACATTTTTCACATTAGATATAAAGCTGCACTGAAGACACGGGCTGTGCTTCTCTTGTTGACCTTGGCATTCCTAGGAGTGCTTGGCGCACTCTCAGAACTTAGTCACCATTGCTTAATTAAGTAAACAACACATTACATGATCTCTTTCTTTTTTCCTTTATTTATTAGTCATTATTACTGCAAATAATGCCAGTCAGAAGAGGATATGTAATGTCAGGGATTCTTTTCAAAAAGAGTCATTTCAGTTGGATTTACTATCTGGTCTTTTGTTCATTCATCTGACAAATCTTTACTGAATGTCTCTTTTGTTCCTGGCGCCGGAGGTTTGGAGGTAAACACATTGGACAGGATGCCTGCTCTCACAGAGTTTACACTCTAGTAGGGGAGAAAGACAGCATTCAGAGGAACAAATGAGGAATCAAGGATAACTTCTGGGTTTGTTTTTTGGCTTGGGCAACTGGGTGGAGGGAGGGAGCATTTACGGAGATTGGAAGAATGAGGGAATACCAGGTTTTGGAGTGATAAAATGCAGAGGTAATTATATAGTGGTATGAAGAGGGATAGATAAACGTGCCTCTTAAAATCTCTGTTGATGATTCCATTCTCTTCACATGACATTCACTAAACTGAATAATCTGTCTTGTGTAAAGATGAAGTGCCCCGCTCACGGGTGGTGGCACATTGTTTGTGCTGAGTACCAGCCTTCCTATGCCTAGAGACTGCTACTTGCTCCTCTTCCACTTGGAGCTCACATGGTCCACTGGTGCTGGTTTTCAGTTGTGGTGATGGATGTGTTCTAATCCAGCCATACTCTTGCACAGGGTCCCTGTTGCAGATCAGGAGGTATTAGTTTGAGATGGGTGGTTAGGGTTGGGCAGTATAGTCTCTGCGCCTATGGACCCAAAAGAGGAACTCTCAGAGGGGCTGTGCTCCTGAAGCTTGGCCTTGCTGGGACAATAGGGGAGTAACGCCATCTGTAACTTGGTTAGAATTAGCACACCACTTTACGAATATGTTAAAAGGCCCTACCTGTCCCTCTGTGAGCTCACTCTCCTCCGGTGCAAGGGAAACCTCTCTCCTGAATATGGTGCCTATCTTTTTCATGCATTTATTTACATTGTTATGATAGATGATATATCCCTAGAGAATGCTGTTTTTTCCATGTTTTTCATTTCATCTAAATGACATCTGACATATATATTCTGCAAGTCACTTTTTTTCTTAAAATCATCTTTGTGAGATTCATCCATACGGAAATATGTAGCCTCAGCTCACTTATTAGCATTGCGTAGTCTTCCGTTATGTGCACGTGATGCAATTTATTTATTCATTTTCCTACTGAAACCACAGCCAGGCTGTTTCTAAATCTTTGCTGTTATAAACAATGCTTATTGCAAATGCTCATTTTCCAAACCTTCCTGCTAACTTCTAAGCTTAAGCTAGAAAGTTCACAGAAGATTATGAGAATACCATATAGCAAATATCTCCTTATTTTATGACTTAAATGTGGGCAAATGCCTAAGAAAAACCCCTTTGCTGCATTAGAGAGAGGTGGAGAGAGCCGGGTCATTGGGCCTGCCATTGTTCACAGTCACCCTAAATCACCGTTAAAGCTTCCTCAGGCACCAGCCACAGAGGTCTCTGCCGCCATCTGGCCTTTCCGGTTTGGCTATGACAACGAAGGATGGTCCAGTTTAGAAAGGTCGGCTCAACTGCTTAATCAGACAGGTAAATCTTACTGGAATTAGTTTTAGGTTTTGAGAAACTACTGTCGTTACCTTTATTTTGAGCATAATCCTAAGTAACAGGAGGAGGGTTTGATGGGTTATAAACTAATCTCTTCAAAAGGCTGAGAGCAATTAGTTCAGTTGATTCTGAACGAAGCCTCATACTGGGTATCTACAGGGGATTCTTGTCATCCCTTTGCTCTTAGAGCTGCCCCTGCTGGTGGCTCCTGTCACTTGGGGACTCACTTTGGGAACCAGGAAACTGTTGTATTAAAAGGCAGCATGGGTCAGGGTGATGCTCATTTGTGAAGCAAATTGTTTCCAAGAGCCTAAGGGGCAATTTTTAAGTTTCTGTGCTGGGGGTTGGGGTGGAGGGGGTAGCTCATCTTTGTATGAGCATCCTTGAGAATGTGTGGGCGTTTGGTTCTTAGGTCAACTGCATGGAGGGTGGAGCAAGATATGTGAAGGGCTGAACTGTTCTGGTTATTCCTAATGATAAGCACATCTCCTGGGAAGGTGCTGAGGGTCCTTTAGTTCTGATCACAGGCTGCCGAGACACATGCGGCCAGGGTCTGGGGAAGCCCGTACACACTTTGGTGCCGACACCATGGAGCTGTTTGACCAGGAATAAAACACTATTGTGCACCACTCTCTCGTTCCTGAACATAAATTGGGAATTTAAAGAGACATTAAGCTCATTTGAAATTTGGGAAATTATGTTAATAATATTTGAAAATTTAGAAAAGTTATGTTTTTATCCTTTCTCACATTTGCTTATGGCACCCCATGTATTAATTACATTCTAAATATGGGGATACTCCCTCGTAGCTCAAATTTGGTCTACTTCACTTTGTGTCTCATTAGGAATTTGGTTTTGATTTATGAGTGAAGGCAAAGGGCTCAAGAACAAAGTTGTAGTAACGGCTTTTGCCTTGCTGTGGTTAATCACTCCGTGCATTCTTTTTTCTGAACAGGTGCCGATTTCATAACAATTTTGGAGAGTGATGCTTCTAAGCCCTTTATTGGGAACAATGACTTAACCATGTGGTTAGGAGAGAAGTTGGGTTTCTACACTGATTTTGGTCCGAGCACAAGGGATCACACTTGGGGGTGAGTGTGCCTTGGGCACTAATCCTGAGCATATGGAACGTTGAGATTGGCATACCTTAGACCTAGGGCTGTGGCTCATTGATCTTCTTGGGGGATAGGGAGGTGCTGACAATATGCATGATATGCATGTTCCATCGTTGTTTCAATGGTCTCCCTGTTACTGGGTATTTTCAATTCACCATTCATTATAAACCATTCAGCACAGGAGCTGAGGTTACAACAGCGAACACGTCTGACCTAGACATGGTCCTCGTGGAGTGTACAGTCTGGTGTGAAGAGACAGAAAATAAACATGCACACCAAGAAATAAGATAATGTGAGATAGTGATCATACATTGTGTAGAAGGGGAAACAAGCTATCGAGAGACAAAGTGGCTGAGTGGGCAGGGGCAGTGGGGATGCTCTTGCAGGTAGAATGGTCAGGAAGGTGCTCTAAACCTCATGATGGGAAGAACCCAGGGCGCAGGTGTGGGGAGAGCTGAGGGAATCACCAGGGTGAAGATCTGAGTCAGGACCCAGTTTGGCGTGCCAGAGGCATAGGGGCTGAGGGGGGCTGACAAAAAATGAGGTCAAGGGTGGGCACCTGATCTTAAAGGGCCCATCACCCATGCTTAGGACTTGATTTAATTCAGTTGTGATGGGAAGCCCCTGGAGGTTCAAACGAGAAAGCAAACTGATCTGATTTACATTTTTAAAAGCTCATGCCAACTGTTCTCGGAAGGACAGAGTGTCAGGGGCATCAGCGGGGACATGGAGACCAGTGAGGAGGCAGATGTAGTTGCAGGGTGGAGATGACAGGGAGAGCTGTGGGGATGGAGAGAAGGGGGCACATTCAGGAACTGTTTGGGGGCACAGCCAAGAGGACTTACTGAAGGTTTGGGTGTCAGGGACCTGGAAGTGAAGAGTCAAGGGCAATGTGTAGGTCTTTGACCCGATAACCTGATAGGAGATGATGCCATTGAATGGCATTGGTATGACCCAGGGAGTAGCAGGATTGTGCTGAGTTTGAGATGCCCCTGGACAGACAAGTGACACCCAGTAAGCAGCTGTGCATAGCCTGGAGCTCTGAGTAGGGCAGGACAGGCTGGATGTGTGGATTCAATTATCATCAGTGGAGACAGTCCTGGAGGACTGAGGGACTCCCTAAGGACCTGGGGAGACCACGTGGGTCCAGCCAGGCAAGAGGAGCCTGCTGTGGTCCAGCTCTGCTCGTCCTCTCCCTAGTTCTGTGACTTACTCTAAGGCGGAGCATACTTTCACATCTTTATTGGAAGGGCTTTAATTTCTAATTTTGTAAATCATTGCATTGTGTCCTTGCTGGCAAGATTGTACATTTCCAAATGTGTTGATGGATATTAGAATTGTTTGTGCAAATATGTTGCCAGAGTAACAATGCAAGTAATATGGATTTTGTGTATTATTAATTCTTCCCTTTATGTGTCTCCATAGCACTTGCTAAAACAGAGTTGATAAAACTGTTTTTTCAGAGTTTATTAGTGACACAGCGAGAAATGCTAAATAGCAGAGATACAATGAACCACTAAGTAGATTGCCACATAAGTCTCTGCCACATTATTGCCCTGAGTGCCCCTCAGTGGGACGTGAAGTGCGACTCGCCCCCTTTGACCACATTTGCTTAGTCCTGTCTGCAGGGTGTGGTTGAACCAACGATGATGTTTCTTTTTATTTGTCTACAGGATTATGGTTTTGTCAAGATACCCTATTGTGAAATCGGAGCACCACCTTCTCCCGTCACCAGAGGGCGAGATTGCACCAGCCATAACCCTGACCGTGAACATCTCGGACAAACTGGTGGATTTTGTTGTGACACACTTTGGGAATCACGAGTGGGTTCTTTGGTCTGTCTAATGCCAAGAAACATTATTAGCATATTACTTTGTCTTCTATGCAATGACCTATCTTGCTTTCTTCTTTTTTTTTCCTTCCCAAAAGATTTTCCCTGTGTGATTGCTTTTAAAAGTCAAGCATAGAAACAGTTGTGATGCAGGTAGTACTTAGTGGTGGTACAAGACTGCAATGATGTCTGTGTTAGCCAGTAGTTACTGAGCAGGCATTGGGCTGAGTACTTTAATGGATTTAATGTTCGCTGTGTATGAAGTAAATACCATTATAGCACCATGTTATAGACAAACAGAGTAGGTTGAGGGAGGTTATATGACTTGTCCCACCAAGGTCGTATGGCTAAGAGTTAGGCAGGCCAGCTCAGGTCCTGCGAGTACTTGGAACTGCAGGGTAAACCTGGCTGCAGAAAAAGGAAATCCCCTTTTCTCTCAGGACGACTGCAGTGGGAAACACTGTTAGGATCTGAGAGCACTAAATGATACTCCTTCTTCCCCAGTGTTTTCACAATCCAGAGGAATCTGGCCAGGAGATCAAAATATCACCTTTAATTTTGATAAGCCTATTTGGGCAACATGATGGAGGGGCATCCGTTTGGACCCAGAAATACATCTCCCAGCGACACCTGAAACCTGCTCCCCCAGCAGCAGGCCTCCCTGGGGGGGCGGAGCCTGCCTACCAAGCTGGGCGGAGCCATTGAACCAGAAAACACCCTGTTTGCCAACTAGCAGTTTTCAAGAAGAGAGAGAGGAAGATTCAAGACAAGTCTGCCCAGTTAATTCTTCTAAACTTCATTAATTATAGAAATCCTCCTCAAAAGAAAAGAATGGAGAGAGAGAGAGGCTGGAGATGGTTTTCTAAGAAAGTCCCTCTACAAGGAGACATGAGCAGTGGGGAATGAGATTTATCCCCCAAAATAACACTCACAACTAGTGGCTCAGTACTGAGTAAATCACGAATAATGCCAAGAATATGTTGTAAGAGCAAAGATAAAGGTATATAACTGATGCTCTACTGCAGTAAACACTCTGTACTAATAATAATAAACACTGATGTAAAGTGCTAGGTGCTACAAAGTAAGGCATACAGGTTCAGTTCACATTCATAACACGAGGCCACAGAGCTTTAAAGTGACATATGGAACGCTGGAAAAACAATGGCGTTGTACAAAGTTTCGCCTAAACGAGACTAATGGGCCTGCTACCCTTATTTTCCCGGTTGCCTCACTTTTTCTCACAGTGTTGTGGGGATCTGGGAAAGCACGCTTGTGTCTTTCCTGAAACAAGTCAGAGCATGAGTAATATAAACAAATCTTAAGATTTACTCACTAATCAGACTCTTGCCTGCCTCCGTAGAAATAAGGAGGGTGTTTGGAAGATGAATGCTATAGATGGTCCATATCTCTTTAAAAAGCTGTTTGAAGAAATGTCTTCTGTTTCTCCCAGTAATTTTCACATAGCAACTACAGGCCTTCAGAAACCATTCTGCTGACCTTAAGTAGCACTGGAATTGCGTTTATCTTTTTTTTTTTAAAGATTTATTTATTTTTAGAGAGGGAAGGGAGGGGGAGGGAGGGAGAGAGAGAGACAGAGAGAGTGGGGGCGAGAAACATCAATGTGCGGTTGCTGGGGGCTGTGGCCTGCAACCCAGGCATGTGCCCTGACTGGGAATCGAACCTGCGACACTATATCTTTTTTTTTAAGGCACTTTGTGTTTTAAAAAAAGACTGCAAGGTTTTAACCTAAGAAACAGTTAAACCTGCTCCTTCCCCACTGCCTTGCTTCTCTCTGCCCCACCCCCAGGCCGCTGTCCCCTTCAACTCCCTCCAAGCTCCTCTGCGATATGAAGACTGGAGTTGAAAGGAAAGACAAGACAGAAAGACAGTGCTCAGACTGGGTCGGAAGAACAGCCTTGTCTGACTGTCTCTCAGCCACACCTCTACAGCTCTCTGAAGAACACCACAGCCTTTACTTGCTGTCTTACTCACTTGATTTAATAATGACCACAGCAGCAGTAGCAATAATAGCTAACCTTTATTGAGGAGATGTAACTCCAGGGAGGCTGTGTAGTTTAATGGTCAAGGGCATGGAATTCCAGAACCTAGAATCAATCTGGTTTGAACCCCAATTCGTGGTATATCCTTCACCAAGTCATTCACTAGCTTTCCCATCTTTAAGTCAGGGGCAGTCATCCTGCCTGTTTCACAGGGTTCTTGTGAGAATGAAATGAGATATATTATCTTATGCATGGTACATGGATACAGTAAGTGCTCGATTAACACTGGCTGTTATTATTAAACCAAGTCATCCTTTACCTCTAGAGGTAAAGGACATGGGGCAGCTTAAACAACAATTCATTTATCAAACAGAAATCAAGCACCTGCTGTGTCTGAAGCGCAGTGCTGGGTGCAGCCTCTGACCTTAGAGCCCAGCCCTGGTGTCCCTCCGCAGAAGCCCTGCCCAGGGACACTGTGGCCTCCCGCCAAGGCACGGGAGGAAGTTTGTGCTTCAGATAATTTGTGAAGCCATCGTGACATGTGCTTGCCTGTCTTTGTTTTCTGCAGTACTAAATACAGGACTCTCACGGTGCATAAATATTTAGAGATTTCATTTTCTAGTGATTATGGCATATAAACATGAACTCATATTAGAAATGAAATGCAGAATGCTTGTGCATATTATTAGCTGATCAACCAGATTTTAGAAATTACTGACTATGCAAATATCTCCTTACAACCAATAAGTAGGAAATAGCAGCATTTCTTAGAAGTCTTTTAGGTACACGCTGTTTTTTGATTCAATTTTAGGTCATTAAGCCACCAGTTGATTTTTCCATTGTTTTTTTCCAATCATTTATAACACGAATAAATATACAAAAAGGAAACAGCACAGAACCTGTAGTCCGAAGACCTGTGTTCTAGTTTGGGTTCCTGGGTGATATAACCTTAGTTAGTTTCAGGTCACTTGTCACTGAAAATTGGATAAAATTTTTTTTCCAAAAAAAATGTAAAGCCAGATTCATAGATTATTTCCCAACAATATATTTCTAAAATATATGTGTACAAAAATGCTGTCTGTGCTCCAGTGACTTCAGAATGTTCTACACTTGGATTCGATCCTCATGCCATGTGTCAGGAGGAACAGAATTCACTGCTGACGTAATGGTTTATTTACCAATACGTGAGAAGGGTCAACGGAACAGGTCAGAGATGCTAAGGCCCTGAGGCACTAGCAACAGTGGGGAATCATTCTCGTTTTCCGTGTTCTCAGAGTGGGAGCTGGAACCAGGGGCCGCCGGGCATGAAGAGTGCAGCTACTACTGCCAGAAGGACTGGGAAGAAATACCATGGCTTCTCTCTCCTTTCGCCTTTTCATGTTCTGCTGGTGCCCCCCACTGGGGAAACAGAACTGGAAACTAGCAGACAGGGAGCCCAGGGGATGAAATGTGCAGGTGTCAGCCTCCCAGGGCATGGAGAAGGGCCGAGAATGGATCTGGGCAGGGGAGATGGAAAATAGCCATAGACATGTTCCTTAGCATCCTTTAAAAATAGAGCTAACGCCTGCCTCTCAGTTATTATGAGAATTCAGTATCAAAGATGTTAGACAAATGGTCCTTCTCTTCACTCTTTCATTTCTTGAGACATCTTTTAATAGTACTCAGCTGTCCACACATGCTTGTCTAAGCTTAGTCCCATCTTCAGATCCTACCTTAATGAGGTGTCTCCAATCTTCTTGGTCGTTGGTGATCCCCCTCTATCTTCCTTCATCACTGCTTTTTACTTAATCATATATTAAGCTCTCTTTCTCTGTAAATGCCTGTGTTGTTCTAGTGCCTATTTGCTCCTGGATTCATTCCTGGCTTACCTCCCTCTTGGCTACACATTGTAAGGAACCAACCGCATATGCTGTCTGTTGCCTTCTGGCCACCATGTAGCCGATGGGCGGCTCTTTGAAGGCTGGAGCAGAGGAGCCAGGGTATTTCTCATCCTCCCTTTGTGCTTGCTCTGATTTTCTGGCAGTGAGTGAGCATCCTCCGGGGCCCTAGCTCCTCCTTAGAGGACCCCAGGTCCTTCTGGGCAACCTCCTCTGTAGCACCAGTCCGGGCAGGCGGCCGGATGCTGGCCTCCTTCTGTCTTCCCCCTGGCTCTGGAGGTGGTACTGGTTTCTCCTTGTTGCCTCACTGTCTGCTCTTTGACTTTCCATCACCTAGGTAACCAGTTCCCTATGTTAAATTTACTTTGTCTAAAACACCTAGAGTGGTTTCAGATTTCCTGGTTGGAAATTCCAATATGATGTCCCCATTTCCCCCCAAATAGAATGTAAACCACCCCGAAGCTTGATGTCCTTGCTTATTTATCTCAGTTATGCACCAACAGTGCTCTGCACAATGGACGTGTTGTGTTTAGCCACTTCTAGGAGCTGTTCAGTTGAGGGAGCTGAGTAGGTTACATACGTCTGGCGTGTTCTGTGAATGTTAGGGTTCTCCCTCTCACCAGGGCTGCTGCTGCTGCTTCTTTAAAAAAGTTTTTTGACTACCAGTCTCTAGCTGTAATACTGATGACCAGGTCTCAGATGATTATGGACATAATTTCTTCTGATGAAAAAAAATGCTGTTTTGGGAATAGATATTTAAATCGACTAGACTCCAAATGATTGGTGGGGAAAGATCATGTTGTTCTTAGTCAAAGGTTTGCCAGCCTACTCAGCTGCAGCAATGTATCTCAGTCTGGTTCCTCTCCAGAACATTAAGACATTTGCCCAAGTAGGAATTACTCTGGGTTTGCGCTCGACTTGAAGAAATGTTTATGGGAACGTAGGTGCCTAAGATTTATTAAACATTTTTTGCAAATAGAAAAAAAATTACATTTTTTGTGCTTTTTCAGAGATGACCTCGACAGGAAACTTCAGGCTATTGCTGTTTCGAAATTACTGAGAAGTAGCTCTGATCAGGTGGTATTTCTGGGATATATCACTTCGGCGCCTGGTTCTAGAGATTATCGACAGCTCATCGAACATGGCAATGTGAAGGTAACACAATCTGAATAGGATTTGGTTTACCGTATTTTGCTGTGTATAACATGTTTCTGTTTTGCCCAAATTTTTGAGGGAAAAATAAGGATGTGCATTATACATGGGTATAATGGTTACACACCATGGGTATAATAATGGTTATGATAATCTTGTGTATAATGCACACAAAAATGTGGGGGTGCATTACACACAGCAAAATATGGTATTGAGTAATATGTTTGTGCTTCATGTAAAAATAAACTGACTCAACAATTTAATGTGTATCCTAATTATCTACTGCTGCACAGAAAACCACCTGAAAGTGTGCTGGCTTCAAACAGCAGCAATCATCTGTGGGCTCGTGAATCTGCAGTCTGGGCAGGGCTCAGAGGGTAGCTCATCTCTGCTCTACATAGCTGGGGGCTCAGCTGGGGCCTGGGGGATTCACACTGCAGATGGATTACAAGCAGCGAGTTGGTGCTGGTCCAGTTGACTAGAAGCTCAACTGGGACTGGCTGTGTGGGTCCTGGTTCCCCTCCATGGGGTACTTGGGTTTCCTCCGTACTCAATGGCTGGGTTCCAAGAATAAGTCTCCCAGGACAACCAGGAAGAACCTTGGTAATCGCTGAAACCATTGCTACAGAAGTACTGCCTTATATGAACTAGCCTTAAAAGTCACATAGTGTGACTTCTGCCATTGTCACAGCATGCTCACATTCAAGTGGAAGACACATAATCCCCTTTGAGGAGTATTGACATCACATTATAATAATACTGTATGGAAAGTGAGTTATTGTAGACATATTTCAAAAATACAGTCTGCCCCATTGTGAAAGTCAATTATGATGCTGAGAGTAAAAATAAGATGAAATGGCATACAGAGCTGCTGGCCAATCAGCCAGACAGGGCCTCACAAAGTGACACTAAATTAGTCCTTGCTGTTCAGGTCTTAAGCACTTGGGTTTGGCAGTGTACCCAGATACAATCATGCCTTGGGGGACTGACACACAAACCAATCCTGGGGACTGATATGCACACTGCCATGCTAACTGCATTCATTTATAATGAGCACCATAATTGTTATGCGTAGGTAAGCCTTATGTAGATGTCCCAGTCCCTTACATTTTGTTTTTAACTTTATGACTTGAGATAATATCTGCAGAGAAAAAAGCTTATCCATCTTACCAGGTGCTTGAAAAGACAGGTGAGGGAGAGGATGGCATGATGAGGGTTTCTCTATGTGACAGAAAACACAATGTGGCTTAAATAAAAGAGAAGTGTGTTTCCTTCTTTTTTTGGCTATGTAGCATTTCTTTATGCGAAAGTCTGGGTAGGTGAGTCAGTGCTAGTACAGCACAGTGATGTCGGGAATGTGCTCCTTCTATCTCGGGGCTCCACTTTACGAAGCCTCCATACTCAGTTTGCCCCTTGATCCAAGATGGCAGCACCCGTGTTCTGGTTAGTGAGATCAAGGAGAAAGGGTCAAGAAGGTGCCAAGAGCATAGGCAAGTTGTCTCTATTGGGGAATTCCACGCAAGTGACCTGGCAACACTTGTACTTATATTTCATTGGCTGGAATTTAGTTTATGGCCACATCTTGATATATACTCGCAGGGGTGTCCAACCTGTGGCCCGCAGAACACATACAGCCCAGGATGGCTATGAATGCAGCCCAACACAAAATTGTAAATTTACTTAAAGCATTATGAGATATTTTTGGGGGATTATGTGTCACAGTGTACTTAATGTGTGGCCCAAGACAACTTTTCTTCATCCAGTGTGGCCCAGAGATGCCAAAAGGTTGGACACCCCTGATACAGGAAGTTGGGATGTGCAATATTTAATACTGATACACACATACACCCAGCTAAAAATACTGCTCTTTTGGAAGAACAGCAAGGCAAGTTATCTCTATTGGGGAGATGAGTTAATTTCTGGCATAGTGGATAAGGCAGAAAGTGGAATCAAGATGGACTCCTGATTTTGGCTTCAATCAGAGGGTTTATAGAGAATAATAAGAAAGCAGAGTTTTCCAAAGAAGATGACAAGTTCAGCTTTAGGCTGAGTTGAGGAATCTGTGGTATGTCAATGGAGCTGCCCAGTAGGCCACTGAATATAGGGATCTGAAATTGAGAAGGACACTTGGGACTAGAGATGTAGATGAAAGAGTCACTGCCCTTTTGGTAACTGTTGGAACCCTGGAAGTGGATGATATTGCTTATGGAATTAGTGAAGTGCAAAAGGAAGACCAAGGCCAACCCCTGATTCAACGTGGCTATCGCATGATGGGTGAGGGAAGAGGAGGGAGACTATCTCAGAAAAGAGATGAAGGAGAGGAAAGCTACACAGGGAGAGTGTGGCCTCGCAGAGGCTGCACCACTTAGTTATCCCCGCGTAATGAACCACCACCTCTCACCTAGTGGCTTCAAACAACAGTGGTAGTCTTACAACTTTGTGAGTTGACTTGGTGGTTTTGTTTTGCTTTTGTTTTTCTGAATTCGCTCCTGTGGTTGGCTGGTGGCTGGGTCGTGGCCTGGCCAGGGTTCTAAGACTGGCCGCCCCTGGGGCCCTGCAGCTGACTGTTGGAGGGACCTGTCTCTCCTCTGGTCTCTAATCACTTATTAGCCTGCCTGTCTGGTGCTGCATTTACCAGCTGTGTGTGACCTTGGGGCGAGTTACTTAACCTTCCTGGGCCTCAGTGTCTGTGTCTATAAAGTGGCGGTAGCAATATTTATTGTATCATAGGGTTGTGATGATGAAGTGTCTTCA